TATTCACATCTTTATCACTTCTTCACTCATAAATATATTTACAAGATATTCCAATTATCAATACTCATTCAAGAATAATATTGATCCTACATTTCTCTTTTTCTATGGCTTGATTTTTGAAGTTTGTACTATATTTCTTCCTTTTTTTATTTATTTATATATATAGTGGATAAGTAGCTTTTCTTGTAGACAAATTTCGACAATGAGAATGATATCTCACACCCTCCATGTGTACTCTTCATTTTCAGGGCTTTCACTTTATCCACTTATTTTGTAGCAAGTGTTTTTCTATGCACGATTTTCGACAATGAGAATGATGTCTCACACCTTCCATGTGTACTCTTCGTTTCTAGATTTTTCATATTACTCTCTTTTTTTTTTCTGAAATAAGTGATTTCTGCTCACAAGTCCTATAGATCAGGATGCAAAAATCTCCATTAAACTCAAATGATCAATCAAATTTTCACATCAAGTAAATACTATCCATCAAAATCATGAAGTGAAAATCTGTAAAATCAAATTCATGTTATCTATCATGTATCCAAGGAGTATTCCAACATTTCATGCTACTAGATCATTTTTTTGACTCAATAATAATCTTCCTAGTATTTTTTGGTATCAATCAATCTAATTGATTTAATTTTTCATGCATGCAATATGATGTAAGAAATTTGTAAATTAGATAATTTTGATAGTTCTATTTTTTATTTTCAGTTCTATTTTTAGCAACAATAAATTTGTCAAAAATAAATCAAAACTATCCTCTTTATAGTTGTAATTTCGAATTTCAGTAATATATGTCTAGGGGATTGAAATGTGAGAAAAGGGTCTCTAGAATTTCAAATTTTGGGTTGTTTTTTGCCTATTTTTTTTGACAATCCGTTGTTCCTGATAGAAAATCAGAAAATAGATGTTGTAGTTTTTTTAATTTTATTTCATTTTTAGTTTTTTAGTTACTGTTCTATGTGAGCATGAAAAAAATAAAAATAAAATGCAAACACGTGTTCTTAATCGTCCTACAGCATAAATTAATAATTAATACTTCACCCCCCATTTTAAAAATGACATTATCCTCAATAACACAGAAAAATTGAAACAAAATATGCAAAAAATATAATTTTCAAGTGAAGCATGCATATATGCAAAGTTAAGCATTAAAAATATTGTCATAAATGATAAAGCTCAGAAAGACATCACCTCAACCTCGTTTTTAATTTTCCACTTCATCTTACACTCTTCCTCTTGCACTTTTTTGAAAAAAATAAATATAAAAACAAGTACTGCGAAATTCTAAGAAAAACAGAGCTTAAAAAAAATCAAACAAAATGAAATAAAAACCATGGGTTGCCTCCCATACAGTTCTGAATTTAATGTCTTCAGTTGGACAGCTCTTAGATCATATAAGATGATCTATGGCCATCAAAATATATTTGTATCCCAAGGTAAGTTTCATGACATTCTTTTTAAAATTTAGCATAAATTCATATACTTCATATTTATACCTTGACATACTTTCAGCCAAAAAAAAATGGAAATTAACAAAATTTTCTCAAAAATAATATTTCCATTTTGAAAAGAATCTTTCCTCATTTCTATCTTGTTTTTTAAGGCTCTCATTCATTAATAAATACTTTCTATTAAGACCATAAAATGTGATCAAGTCATATAATTTTCAAATTAGCTCTTACCCAATCTAGAATTTTTTCATCTAAATTGATATCTTTAATTCTTCCATTCATCTATTTCTTAATGTCTTCTTTTATCTACATAATCTTCCCCTGCTCTATTTTATCTTTCATACATATTTGTTCAATTTGTGAGGAGTGAAATATTTCAAGTTTAGAAGTAATTCTAATGGGCTGTGGGTTTTGAAGGATGGAAGGATTGTCTTCTTTAATCTCAGATCTAATGAATTTAGTAAAATTCAATTTTTTTCCTCCAAAATTATCTCTATATTCATATCCATTATTTTTGTTTCTCCCCATTAGTTGAATCAACTCTTTTTCTAACTTTTCGTTTCTCAACTCATCAAATTCTTCATCTTTCCAAGAGCCATCTTTTAATTTCGGTATATGATATACATCATCATCCTCACTATCAACATCTATGGCTACAAAATTATAATTATATTTATTAATTTTGTCTCCTACATCTCCCAAATCAATTGATTTTTCCTCACCTGAAATATGTTTTTCTTCATTTCTGTCCTTACTCACTTCTACTAAAATTTGGATGATTCTTCCATGATCAGCTGCTATTTCTTCGTCTAAGGGCTCTTTCTCCTCATCATCCTCACTATATTCATTCATCAATTGTGAGCAATAAATAATTTTATTCAAATTTTCTACTACTATATTTTTAGCCTTAATATTCTCATTTACTTCTAATGGGTCATCGATTTCTTCTAATAATTGGAAATAAGGATCAGGTAAAATATTCTCACTCAATGTATTCACTGTCCTAATATTTTTATTTCGTGGGTTTTTTTCTAAATTTATCTAACTAGACTCTCCTTACTGAAATCCTACTGTTGGATAGTTTCTTGAATTTTCTATGGGCTGACTAGGTGGTTGTCCCTCTTGTCTTCTATTCTCAAAAGCCTCTATAATTTATTTTTGGTGCAACATCATTTGATTCATAGTTTGTTGCATCATTTGGCTCATTTGCTACATCATTTCCATAACATTAGGTTGGATTTGAGAAGACTGATTTTTCTAAAATCTGTGTTCTTATTTTGGACGAAATTCAAAATTTGAATTGGATCTAAATGCTTCTAGATTTTGAATATTATTTGGGTTTTTCCACGAAAAATTATTCCCCTAATTAGGATTATAAGAATTAGAAAAATATTCCCTATTTTTACTAAAATCATGGGGTACCTGCACTTGTTCTTGCCTAGGATGATATTGAAATTGAAATGATCATTTTCACCATACATAGGATAAGCACTATATGCATTTAATTGAAGGTTAGGAGGCTTTCTATATTCTCAATAAGTAAATCAAGTTTTTCTAATATTTGATTAATCTGATTAACCTCATTTCTTAATTTAGAATCATCATCCTGATGCAATTCATACATTTCTCTCTTCTTATCCTTGTCATATAATTCAAAAGAGACGATCTCTAAAATTTTCACTTAACTTCTCATAAAAACTGTAAATCTCATCAGGGGTTTTCTCTATAAAAACTCCTCCATATATAGACTCAACCATATTTCTATGTTGTTCTAATAATCCATCATAAAAAATTCTATTGAGCTGCCACTTGGGTATAGCATGATGAAGACACTTTTTAAGAAAATCTTTGAATTTTCCCATGTCTCATGTAAAGTTTCTCCTGGTCTTTGAGAAAAGCTCTATATATGTTTTCTCATATTTTGAGTTTTTCTTAAGGGATAAAATTTTCGAAGAAAAGCCTGTTCTATATCTTTCTAGTTAGTTAATTCTCTATCTAATGTGGATAGCCAATGGCTAGCTTTGTCCCTAAGTGTATGAAGAAATAATTTCATCTTAATAATTTCTGGTGTAACTTGAAGGAGATTAACTAAATCACAAATCATATGAAATTTTTCTAAGTGCTGATGAGATTCCTCTAAAGGCAATTCATGAAAATTAGGGAGCAATTGAAAAATTCTTAGATTTATTTTGAATTTAATAGTGGGTGCTAATAGGACTCTAATATTTGATGCTCTTTGAAATAAATTAGGGATATAATGATTTTTCATGGCCGTAGGATTATTCTCAATTTGACCTGTACTTCCTTCAAGATCTATCAAAATTAATTTTTCTTTCAGATTTTTAGTTTTGAATGAAATAATGACCTTGGATGCAAGGATCTTCTACTGTGCATAAAAAATCAATAAATTTGAGAGAAAAAGTTTAGTAACTGTTACCCTCCTTCAGTATGTTCCAATCTTTGCCTTCCTTCTCTTTGTTCCCTTTTTTTAAAAACAAAAAAAATCGGCAAGAAGAAAATAAAACAAGAGTTAATTTTTTTTTGTGTACTCTAAGAGAAAAATAGAAAAATACTAAATATTATGCAATACATCCCCAACAACAGTGCCAAAATTTGACGTGACTTAGTTGTTGTATAGTAAATCACGTAAATTTAAAATTTATAAAACTAGAAAATACAAATTTTTAGATATTTAGAAGTATTTCTGAACAAATATATCAATTATAATTTAATAAAACTTCCAAAAATAGCGATAATTTTCCAAGTCGATCATAGCGATGTAATATAATATCAGGTAATTATTTAGAACGTTTCTCAAAGACTACTATTTTCTATGAATTTTATACTAGGAAATGAAAAAAAATATATATTTAAAAATCACAAAAAAGGGAAACAAGGGTACAGACGTCAAGATGACGTCATCACCCGGTGAACGCAAATCGGACGAAAACAGAGTTCTACTTGACAATTCTTACGTAAGTGATTATAGACGATTTAATTGATCAAATTAAGATCTGTAAAAGCCAGAAAAATCATAATGGAATGAAGTATATCTTGGTAAATTTAAAATCAATAAATTATCACTAAATGAAGTGAAAATTAAGTTGAAAGTAGGAAAAAAGAGTTCCGGTGTCGCGGCGACAATGCGTCAGCGATGTACCAGAATCTTGAGCATTCAGGAGGATCGTCGTATAGTGTCCACAGCCTTGAAGGCTCTCCTTGGACAAGGACGACGTAGGTGACGTGACTCAGTCGCTGTATATTAAATCACGCAAATATAAAATTTATAAAACTAGAAAATATGAATTTTTGGATATTTAGAAGTATTTCTAAATAAATATATCAATTATAATTCAATAAAACTTCCAAAAATAGCGGTAATTTTCCAGGTCGATCACAGGGATGTAATATAATATCTGGTAATTATTCAGATTTTTTCTCAATGAATACGATTTTCTATGAATTTTATACTAGGAAATAAAAAGGAAATATATTTAAAATTCACGAAAAAAAAAGGGAAATAAGGACGCGGACGTCAAGATGATGTCAGCGCCCGGCGAACGCGAATCGGGCGGAAACAGAGTTCCGCCCGGTGATTCTTGCGTAAGCGATTACAGACGATTTAATTAATCAAATTAAGATCTATAAAAGCCGGAAGAATCGTAATTGAACAAAGTATATTTTGGTAACTTAAAAACACAAAAATTATCACTAAATGAAGCGTAAAGTAAATTGAAAGCAGGAAAACAGAGTTCCAGCGTCGCGACGGCGATGCGTCGGAGATGCACCGGAATCCTGAGCGTTCGGGAGGATCGTCGTGTAGTGTCCACGGCCTCGAAGGCTCTCCTTGGACAAAGACGACGTGGGCAATCTCTAGATCTTCTCACGAAGTCTAGAGATCAATGAAGTGGGTCGTTGAATCGTCTCCGGCAGTTGTCACCCGGCGGAGCGGAAAAATGGCGACTTTGCGGCTCTTCGGCGGCTGTCACCCTACGGAGAGGAGCTGGATGGAGGTGGGGCGCGTGTCAGGGAGCTTCATCCTCAGGTCTGCGTAGCAAGAGGAGGCTCTTCATCGCATCTGGTATGCTCTCAGGAGGTGGCGACTCGTCTCCCGGCGGATCGTCCTCTTCCCGACGACGGCTTGTTCGTCGATCAATCGGAGATGATTTACTCGATGAATTCGCGATCCTTTTATCGCGAATCGTTCAGCAATTTTAGTAGCAATGCTTCGTGAATCGCATTGACGAGATTTTCGCCGATGATCTAGCGATTCTGGTTGCTTAATCCTTCACCGGCAATCTGTAGGAAAGTCGCGATAATCAGATAAAAAGATATGAATTTTGACTCTGGGAGGATTCGAACCCGCGCCGGTCGCCCGCCTGTGAGGAAGGTGTGACGCCGGTTTAGTCCCACATCGGTTGTGCGCCGATTTTTTGGGCGAATATATAGTAATGTTGGCTTCGGAAGCAAAGTCACTTCTCTCGCGTGTACGACCACTCCTTGCCCCACAGCCGACTAGCCACCGGTGACGTGGAAGGGGAGTGGCGCACACGTGCCCCTATTGGTCCAAGCTAAGCCGCTCGAGCCCCTGCTCGCGGCTACTCCTTACTGCGCTTCCGACCCGCTTGCGGGCCCGGCTGGCTGGCGGGTCCCCCCATTTTGCAATATTTTTATTTTTATTTCTTGTTCTTCATTTATCTCAAAAGTAAGACTGTAAAAATCGTATAAAATCACATAATTACCCAAAAATTCACGTTAATCAATTGAAAACCACTTTTCACACTTTAACACAAATATAAGTCTATTTATCATGAGTTAAGGCTAAAACTATATTATTTACTAATTATTAACTCATGATAATGAAGACTTATCACACCCCCCAACTTAAATCATTGCTAGTCCCTTATCAATGGAATTACGAAAATAAAAATTTACAAATTTCAAACATCATATTTCAATACAAAAAAAATAAAAATACAATTAGAAATGATGCACCTTTAGACACTTTAGACTCTTATATCAAGTCTTTAAGAATGATGTCAAGCACTTAAATGTTTAAACACTCCTTGGAATAACAATCTAGACTTCACTTCTTCTATTCACATATTTTTCACTTCTTCACTCATAGATGTATTTACAAGATGTTCCAATTATCAATACTCATCCAAGAATAATATTGATCCTACATTTCCCTTTTTCTATGGCTTGATTTTTGAAGTTTGCACTATATTTCTTCTTTCTCTTTTTTTTTTATATATATACAGTGGATAAGTAGCTTTTCTTGTAGACAAATTTCGACAATAAGAATGATGTCTCACACCCTCCATGTGTACTCTTCATTTTCAGGGCTTTCACTTTATCCACTTATTTTGCAGCAAGTGTTTTTCTATACACAATTTTCGACAATGAGAATGATGTCTCACACCCTCTATGTGTACTTTTCGTTTCTAGATTTTTCACATTGCTCTCTCTCTTTTTTTTTCGAAATAAGTGATTTTTCCTCACGTCCTATAGATCAGGGTGCAAAAATCTCCATTAAACTCAAATGATCAATCAAATTTTCACATCAAGTAAATATTATCCATCAAGATCATGAAGTGAAAATCTGTAAAATCAAATCCATGTTATCTATCATGTATCCAAGGAGTATTCCAACATTTCATGCTACTAGATCATTCTTTTGACTCAATAATAATCTTCCTAGTATCTTTTAGTATCAATCAATCTAATTGATTTAATTTTTCATGCATGCAATATGATGTAAGAGATTTGTAAATTAGATAGTTCTGACAGTTCTGTTTTCTGTTTTCAGTTCTATTTTTAGCAGCAATAAATTTGTCAAAAATAAATCAAAACTATCCTCTTTATAGCTGTAATTTCGAATTTCAGTAATATATATCTAGGGGATTGAAATGTGAGAAAAGTGTCTTCTAGAATTTCAAATTTCGGGCTGTTTTTTGTCTGCTGTTTTTGACAGTCTGTTGTTCCTGATAGAAAACCAGAAAATAGATGTTGCAATTTTTCCGAATTCGGCTATCTTTTTTTTATTTTTTTAGTTGCTGTTCTAAGTTGAATAAAATGCAAACACATGTTCTTAATCGTCCTACAGCATAAATTAATAATGAATACTTCACCCCCCAACTTAAAAATGACATTGTCCTCAATGACACAGAAAAATTGAAACAGAATATGCAGAAAATATAATTTTCAAGTGAAGCATGCATATATGCAAAGTTTAGCATTAAAAATGTTGTCATAAATGATAAAGCTCCGAAAGGCATCACCTCAACCTCGATTTTAATTTTCGACTTCATCTTACACTCCTCCTCCTGCACTTTTTCGAAAAAACAAATACAGAAACAAGTACTGCGAAATTCTAAGAAAAACAGAGCTTAAAAAAAATAAATCAAACAGAATAAAATAAAAACCATGGGTTGCCTCCCATGCAGGGCTGAATTTAATGTCTTCAGCTGGACAGCTCTTAGATCATATAAGATGATCTATGGCCATCAAAATATCTTTGTATCCCAAGGTAAGTTTCATGATATTCTTTTTCAGATTTAGCATAAATTCATGTACTTCATATATATACCTTGACATACTTTCAGCCAAAACAAGATGGAAATTAACAAAATTTTCCCAAAAATAATATTTCCATTTTCAAAAGAATCTTTTCTCATTTCTATCTTGTTTTGTAAGACTCTCATTCATTAATAAATACTTCCTATCAATAGACCATAAAATGTGATCAGGCCATATAATTTTCGAATTAGCTCTTACCCAATCTAAATTTTTTTCATCTAAATTGATATCTCTAATTCTTCCATTCATCCATTTCTTAATGTCTTCTTTTATCTGCATAATCTTCCCCTGCTCTATTTTATCTTCCATACATATTTGTTCAATTTGTGAGGAGTGAAATATTTCAAGCTTAGAAGTAATTCTAATGGGCTGTGGGTTTTGAAGGATGGAAGGATTGTCTTCTTTAATCTCAGATCTAATGAATTCAGTAAAATTCAAATTTTCTCCTCCAAAATTATCTCTATACTCATATTCATTATTTCCGTTTCTCCCCATTAGTTGAATCAACTCTTTTTCTAACTTTTCGTTTCTCAACTCATCAAATTCTTCATCTTCCCAAGAGCTATCTTTTAATTTCGGTATATGATATACATCATCATCCTCACAATCAACATCCATGGCTACAAAATTATGATTAGATTCATTAATTTCGTCTCTTACATCAATTGATTTTTCCTCCCCTGAAATATGTTTTTCTTCATTTCTATCCTTACTCACTTCTACTAAAATTTGGATGATTTTTCCATGATCAGCTGCTGTTTCTTCATCTAAGGGCTCTTTCTCCTCATCATCCTCACTATATTCATTCATCAATTGTGAGCAATAAATTATTTTATTCAAATTTTCTGCTACTATATTTTCAGCATTAATATTCTCATTTACTTCTAATGGGTCATCGATTTCTTCTAATAATTGGAAATAAGGATCAGGTAAAATATTCTCACTCAATGTATTCACTGACCTAACATTTTCATTTCGTGGGTTTTTTTCTAAATTTATCCAGCTAGACTCTCCTTGCTGAAATCTTACTGTTGGACAGTTTCCTGAATTTTCTATGGGCGGACTAGGTGGCTGTCCCTCTTCTCTCTTATTCCCAAGAGCCTCTATAATTTGTTTCTGGTGCAGCATCATTTGGTTCATAGTTTGTTGCATCATTTGGCTCATTTGCTGCATCATTTCTATAGTATCATGTTGGGTTTGAGAGGGCTGATTTTTCTGAAATCTGTTTTCTTGTTTTAGATGAAATTCAGAGTTTGAATTGGATCTAAGTGCTTCTGAATTTTGAATATTATTTGGGTTTCTCCACGAAAAATTATTCCCCCAATTAGGATTATAAGAATTAGAAAAATATTCCCTATTTTTACTAAAATCGTAGGGTACCTGCACTTGTTCTTGCCTAGGATGATATTGAAATTCGAAATGATCATTTTCACCATACATAGGATCTGTACTATTTGAATTAAATTGAGGGTTAAGAGGCTTTCTAATATTGTCAATAAGAAAATCAAGTTTTTCTAATCTTTGATTAATCTGATTAACCTCATTTCTAAGTTTAGATTCATTATCATGATGCAATTCATGAATTCCTCTCTTCTTATCCCTGTCATATAATTCAAAAGAGGCTTGATCTCTAGAATTTTCACTTAAATTCTCATAAAGACTGTAAATCGCATCAGGGGTTTTCTCCATAAAAGCTCCTCCACATATAGAATCAACCATATTTCTATGTTGTTCTAATAATCCATCATAAAAAATTCTATTGAGCTACCACTTGGGTATAGCATGCTGAGGATATTTTCTAAGTAAATCTTTGAATGTTTCTCATGTCTCATGTAAAGTTTCTCCTGGTCTTTGAGAAAAATTCTATATATGTTTTCTCATATTTTGAGTTTTTCCTAAGGGATAAAATTTTCGAAGAAATGCCTGTTCTATGTCTTTCCAGCTAGTTAATTCTCTATCTAATGTGGATAGCCAATGGCTAGCTTTGTCCCTAAGTGTATGAGGGAAAAATTTCATCTTAATAATTTCCGGTGTAACTTGAGGGAGATTAACTAAATCACAGACCATATGAAATTTTTCTAAGTGCTGATGAGGTTCCTCTAAAGGCAATCCATGAAAATTAGGGAGCATTTGAAAAATTCCTGGATTTATTTCGAATTTAACATTGGGTGCTAATGGGACTCTAATATTGGATGCTCTTTGAAATGAATCAAGGATATAATAATTTTTCATGGCCATAAGATTTTTCTCAGTTTGACCTATACTTTCTTCAGGATCTATCAAAATTAATTTTTCTTTCGGATTTTTAGTTTTGAATGAAATAATGAAAGGATTTTCTAGCCTTGGATGCAAGGATCTTCTACCATGCATAAAAATCAATAAATTCGAGGGAAAAAGTTAGTAACTGTTACCCTCCTTTAGGATGCTCCAGTCCTTGCCGTGCTTCTTTTCGTTCCCTTTTTCTAATAAAAATCGACAAAAAGAGAATAAAATAAGAGTTAAGTTTTTTTTTTTTTTTGTACTCTAAGAGAAAAATAGAAAAATCCTAAATATTATGCAATACATCCCCGGCAACGGCGCCAAAATTTGACGTGACTCAGTCGCTGTATATTAAATCACGCAAATATAAAATTTATAAAACTAGAAAATACGAATTTTTGGATATTTAGAAGTATTTCTAAATAAATATATCAATTATAATTCAATAAAACTTCCAAAAATAGCGGTAACTTTCCAGGTCAATCACAGGGATGTAATATAATATCTGGTAATTATTCAGATTTTTTCTCAATGAATACGATTTTCTATGAATTTTATACTAGGAAATAAAAAGGAAATATATTTAAAATTCACGAAAAAAAAAGGGAAATAAGGACGCGGATGTCAAGATGACGTCAGCGCCTGGCGAACGCGAATCGGGCGGAAACAGAGTTCCGCTCGGCGATTCTTGCGTAAGCGATTACAGACGATTTAATTAATCAAATTAAGATCTATAAAAGCCGGAAGAATCGTAATTGAACAAAGTATATTTTGGTAACTTAAAAACACAAAAATTATCACTAAATGAAGCGTAAAGTAAATTGAAAGCAGGAAAACAGAGTTCCAGCGTCGCGACGGCGATGCGTCGGCGATGCACCGGAATCCTGAGCATTCGGGAGGATCGTTGTGCAGTGTCCACGGCTTCGAAGGCTCTCCTTGGACAAAGACGACGTGGGCAATCTCTAGATCTTCTCGCGAAGTCTAGAGATCAATGAAGTGGGTTGTTGAATCATCTCCGATGGCTGTCACCCGACGGAGCAGAAAAACGGCGACTTTGCGGCTCTCTGGCGGCTGTCACCCGACGGAGAGGAGCTGGATGGAGGTGGGGCACGTGTCAGGGAGCTTCATCCTCAAGTCCGCGCAGCAAGAGGAGGCTCTTCATCGCATCTGGTACGCTCTCAGGAGGTGGCGACTCGTCTCCCGGCGGATCGTCCTCTTCCCGACGACGGCTTGTTCGTCGATCAATCGGAGATGATTTACTCGATGGATTCGCGATCCTTTTATCGCGAATTGTTCAGCAATTTTAGTAGCAATGCTCCGTGAATCGCGTTGACGAGATTTTCGCCGATGATCCAGCGATTCTGGTTGCTTAATCCTTCACCGGCAATCTGCAGGAAAGTCGCGATAATCAGATAAAAAGATATGAATTTTGACTTTGGGAGGATTCGAACCCGCGCCGATCGCCCGCCTGTGAGGAAGGTGTGACGCCGGTTTAGTCTCACATCGGTTGTGCGCCGATTTTTCGGGCGAATATATAGTAATGTTAGCTTCGGAAGCAAAGTCACTTCTCTCGCGTGTACGACCACTCCTTGCCCCACAGCCGGCTGGCCACCGGTGATGTGGAAGGGGAGTGGCGCACACGTGCCCCTATTGGTCCAAGCTAAGCTGCTCGAGCCCCTGCTCGCAGCTACTCCCGACTGCGCTTCCGACCCGCTTGCGGGCCCGACTGGTCGGCGGGTCCCCCCATTTTGCAATATTTTTATTTTTATTTCTTGTTCTTCATTTATCTCAAAAGTAAAACTATAAAAATCGTATAAAATCACATAATTACCCAAAAATTCACGTTAATCAACTGAAAACCACTTTTCACACTTTAACACAAGTATAAGTCTATTTATCATGAGTTAAGGCTAAAACTATATTATTTACTAATTATTAACTCATGATAATGAAGACTTATCAGTAGGCAATCTCTAGATCTCCTTGCAAAGTCTAGAGATCAATAAAATGGGTCGTCGAATCGTCTTCAGTGGCTATCACCTAGTGGAGTAGAAAAACGGCGACTTTGCGGCTCTCTGGCAATTATCACCCGATAGAGGGGAGCTAGATGAAGGTGGAGCGCGTGTTAGGGAGCTTCATCCTCAGGTCCACACAACAAGAGGAGGCTCTTCATCGCATCCAGTACGCTCTCAGGAGGTGGCGACTCGTCTCCCGGCAGATCGTCCTCTTCTTGATGGCGACCTGTTCGTCGATCAATCGGAGATGGTTTACTTGATAGATTCGTGATTCTTTTATCACAAATCGTTCAATAATTTTAGTAATAATGCTCCGCGAATCACGTTGACGAGATTTTCACCGATGATCCAACAATATTGGTTGCTTAATCCTTCACCAGCGATTTGCAGGAAAGTCGCGATAATTAGATAAAAAATATGAGTTTTGGCTCTAGGAGGATTTGAACCCACGTTAGTTGTCCGCCCTTTCTGGGGAAGGTGTGACGCGGGTTTAGTCCCACATCGCTTGTGCGCCGAATTTTTGGGTGAATATATAGTAATGTTACATTACGACCACTCCTTACCCCAGCCAACTGGCCACTAGTGACGTGGAAGGGGAGTGACACACACGTGCCCCTATTGGTCCAAGCCGCTCGAGCCCTTGCTCGCGGCTACTCCCTGATTGCGCTTCCGACCCGCTTGTAGGCTCGGCTGGCCGGCAGGTCCCCCCCATTTTGTTTTATTTTTATTTTTACTTCTTTTTCTTCATTTATCTCAAAACTAAGACTGTAAAAATCATATAAATTTGTATAAAAACACATAATTACCCAAAAATTCACGTTAATTAACTGAAAACCACTTTTCACACTTTAACACAAATATAAGTTTATTTATCATGAGTTAAGGCTAAAACTATATTATTTACTAATTATTAACTCATGATAATGAAGACTTATCACCTACATGTACAATGTGACATTTTCTACTTTGTATTAATGCTAGAACCATAGACAATACTTTTTACTACACCATGCAACCAAATTGTCCCCTATAAATGTACAAAATTTAATAGTGAAGTCAATCTTCATGAGAACTAGTATAATCAACATTTGAATATTTCATGACATCAACATTATCAAAATTCTTAAAGTAGATCCCATTGCTAGGAGAAGATCCTAGATATCAAAATATTTGGCATAGTGGAGTCCAATGAACTTCATGAGGTTAATGCATAAATTGGTTTAGGTGACTAACTACAAAGGCAATATCGGGTTGTGTGCAAAAAAGTTTTTTAATAAGAGCATAATATCTTGTTACATCAAAACGTACTAGACTATCAATATCACTAAGTGGAAAATGGGTATCCATAGGTACAATAGCCTGCTTGCAATCAAGCATGCTAACATTAAATAGAAGATCTAGTACATGCACTAAGATAAAATAAGAAAATCATTAACAAGATTAATTTCAATACAAAGAAAATATTTCACAAGATCAAAATCTTTGGTAACAAGTTGAATGTGTAAAAACTCATCAGCTATAGAAATACTTTATGAATCATTACAAGAATATCATCAACACAAATAATCAAATGATAAAACTAGTAGGTCAATGCAAAGTAAAGATGAATTGATGGGAGGAAGATTGAGTAACTAATCTACTCTTTTTCTTCACATAACTTACCAAACCAAGCCCCAAGACTTTGTTTTAACTCATATATCACCTTTTGAAGTTTCTAAACTTCATGATCTAAAGTAAGAAACCCTAGTGGCTGCTCCATATGAACCTCTTGATTGAGATCTCTATAGGAAAAAATATTCTTAATATCAAGATGAAATAGTACTATATGTCTTAGAAAATATCAAGATGATCAAGATGAACTGAATTTAAATGAATTGAGAAAATGCCTCAAAATAATCAACACTATACGTCTGATTATAACCTTTGGCTATTAATTAAACTTAATATTTTCTATAGAGCTATCAATAAGGTACTTAAAATTAAATGTGTATCTACACCCCACAATCATTGCATTAGAAATTAATTCTACAAGATCACACCTTCTTAGAAAGTAGAGTGGATATTTTCCCTTCTATAGTTGCCTTCCATAAAGGATGTTGTAATAACTTAATGTGAGTATGGAGAATAAGAGAAAGGTCAATAGAAAGGTTAAATTATTTTTTAGACTCATTGACACGACCTAATTATTTTATAGTAAATTAAATAAATTTAAAATTCATAAACCTAGAAAATATTAAATTTTAGATTTTTAAAAATATTTAAACACAAAGAAATAAATTATAATTAGATAAAAGGCTCTAAAAATAGTGAAAATTTTATAATTCGATCTTAGACATGTAATATAATATTGATTAAAATTTATTTATTTTCAAAGAATATGACTTTTATGATTTTTAGGCTAAATAATGAAGAGAAAATATATTTAAAAATGCATGATAAAAGGAAAATTAGGTGCAGTTGTTAGGATGATGTTAGTGCATTGATGAACATGATTAGGCTAGAAGATTAATATCACTAAAGAAGAATTGATTAGGATGATATTTAAAAGTTAGAAGAATTGAATTGACTAAAGAAGATTTTCAAAATCTAAAATGATATAAAATATCACTTAACTTAAGTAAATTTTAAGTTTAAAATATGAAAGACAAAGTTGTAATGTCATGGTGACGATCTTCAAAATTCTAAGTATTTAAAAAATTATTGTGCAATGTCCATAGCTTCAAAGACTTTCTTTGGACATGGACAACATAGATAATGTCTTTGTTATCATAAGTTAATAACTAATTAATAATATAGTTTTAGTATTAACTCATAATAAATATACTTATATGTATATTAAATTGTCAAAAATAATTTTTAATCAGTTAATATAATTTTTTGGCTAATTATGTGATTTTATATAAATTTATAATCTTATTTTTGAGATAAATAAATAAAATAAAATAAAATAAAATAAAATAAAATAAAATAAAATAAAATAAAACAATAAAAAAAGGAGAGAACCCACCGGTCAACCGAGCCTACAAACAAGTCAAAAGCATAATCAGCCGGATCCGCAAGCAAGGGCTTGAGTGACTAAAGATGGACTAGTAGGGTACACATGTGCATCACTCCCTTTCCACTTCATTGGTGGCCAATTGAGCTGGGACAAGGAGTGATCATACACACACGAGAAATGGACACATTGATTACTAAATCTCGCATTACTATATATCCATCTCAAAACTTCAACATATATCGATGTGAGATTAAATTAGTGGTTATAGCCTTCTCAGAAGGTTTTAATGATTTTAATACCTAAAATACTATTTTGTTATCAAAAATAGATACCCTCATGATGTCAATTTATATGGATATTCACTTACTTATTTCACTCTCCCTCATGTAGGTGGGCAACTGACTCATATTTTTATCTAATTAAATCATAATTTTTCCATAGATTTCTGGTGAATGATTAAGTTGTCGTAATCACTCAATCATCGGTAAAATCTCACCAATGTAATTTGTGAAATATTATTATTAAAATTACTAAATAATTTTAGTTAAAAGGATCATAAACCTATTAAGAAAATTATATCCGATTGATCAATGAATAAGCCGTCATCAGAAAGAAGACATTTTATCAGAAGATGAGTCACTACCTCCTGAAAGCCTACCAAATACGATGAAGAACCTTCACATACTGTGCGGACTTGAGGATGAAGTTCTTTAAAATGCACCTCACCTCTATCTAACTCATCTCTATTGCGTGACATTCACTAAAGAATCACAAAATTATAATTTTTCTATTTTGTCGAGTGACAATCGTCGAAGATAATTTGACAACTCATTTTATTAATTTCTAGACTTCGCAAGAAGATCTAAAAATTATCCACATCGTCTTTGTCTAAGAAGAGCATTTGAAGTCATGGACATTACACGACAACCCCCTTAAATGCTAAGAATTATAACAAATCGTCAACACATCACTGTTGCGACATTGGAACTCTATTTTATCATTTTTAACTAGTTTAACTTCCACCATTATTTTATGAAATTTAAAAAGAGATCCAACAAATGTCTAGGTCATCAATGTCCAAAGAGAGCCCTTAAGGTTATGAATATCATATGATAACCATTCTAAACACACATAACTCTGACGATCACTATCACAAGACCAAAACTCTGTCTTTCTTACTTTTAATTTATTTTTTACTTTATTTAATAATACTTTATGTGATTCAAGTTTTAAAATTATTTT